GTCTCAAAAATACCAAAAAGGAAAGAAAGAAATAGAGAGAGAGGGAGGGAGGGAGGGAGAAGGAGAGAGAGAGAGAGAGAGAGAGAGAGAGAGAGAGAGAGAGAGAGGAAAGAAAGAAAGAAAGAAAGAAAGAAAGAAAGAAAGAAAGAAAGAAAGAAAGAAAGAAAGAAAGGAAAGAATAGGATGGTCTCCACTCTCACCCTCCTTACAAAGGTCATGGGACTGTGACTGAAAACCAGCAGCACAAAAATACCATGGTTCACACGCCAAGACTTTCCAGGTCACAGAGTAAAGTTGTTAGAGCATCATCAAGCATCTGAAGCATTGTCTGGATGCAGGTCTAGGAGGCCAGGTGTGACCTGGGAGGTGAATGTGCCCCTTTCTTTTAAAAAAAAAAGTTTTTATTTATTATTTTTATTTTATGTGTGAGTGTACTGCCTGCATGTATATAAGTACACTCATGTCATGTAGTGCCCGAGGAGGGTGTCGGATCACCTGGAATTGGAGTTAGGATGGTTGTTAACCACTGTGTTGGGTGCTAAGACCCAAACCTAGATCTTCTGCAAGAGCAGCCTGTGCTTTTAATCACTGAGCCATCTCTCCAGCACTGAGTGTGTCCCTTTCTGTGCCTGGATATGCCCAGACACACATTGTGGGGTTGGGTGAAGATACTCATAGGGCCCTGAGGGAGAAGCCCAAATCAGTAACTGTCTAGGAAACCAGTCCCCCTGCATCATGGGTCCCAGGTTGCCTTCCTCATAGACCCATAAGGGGAGTCTACAGCCCTGGGGAGGGAAAGGCAGAAACTCCAAGGCGTTAGCTCTGCTCTGTCCTGGCCCAGACACAGCAGTATAAAGACTGAGGAGGTCGGGGGGGGCTGCGACCTCTGTTCCTTTATCTCAGGTGGATGCCGTGTGTACATCTGTGACACCTGTAGTAGACATGCTTGTCAGTGCAGCATGCAGCAGGGCTATGCACACACAATGAAAGCTTGACTGTGTGGGGGACAGTGGAGCAGTTTCCATTCAATTCCAGAAAATCTTCTTGCTGCCGATGGCTATGAGTATGCTGGGTGCTGGGGACACAGTGCTGCGTGGAGGGGTCTAGGGCTGGAGTCTGGAGGAACGGCAGTCAGAGGATGACGGCTCCAGGCTGAGGCTCTCCCATGTGAACTAAGTGGCCTTTCCTGGGTTTCAGTTTCCTCATCTGCCAAGAGGGGAGGATGATAGGGGCCACCTCACCAGGCTGTGGAAGGATGTGATAAGTGGCTTCCATGCTTAGCACTGTGCCTATCAATCAACCTCGCCCAGCACACAGTCAAAAATCTCAGTTCAAACTCCAAGGGCCACAGCAGGTGGCTGTAGAGAGAAGCAGGAGCAGTTCTGGACAGGGAGTTCACAGTCAGGGACTGGCCCTCTGCATCTGTTATCAATTTACCACATGACTTTGGTCTCCAGAGCCTTAGTTTTCTCAGAAGCAGAATGGGGTAGTGAGATTGTGAGAGCTGAACTGATAGGGACTTCTAAGGGCTCTGGGCACACTGTGCTGGGATAATTTCCAGCCCACGCCATGTTCTGTTTCATAGGTTCAGAGTGGGTAGGTCGGAGGGATCCTGGGTTAGGAGTGTGCAGGCCCAGGAGCTGCGGCCACCTCCTCCCCTTCCCATTCCCTCAGCTCCTGACCCCAGGGACAAGGCTGAGGGAGGATGTTTACAGAGCATAAACCTTCACATAGAGAAGTTTACTGGGCTCTGGGGGCTGGGAGCTAGCAGTAAGCATGTGACAGTGGCTGGGGGAAGCATGGTGGGTGAGGGGGCCTGGCTCAGCCCCTTCCAGGCCTCGGGTGCCAGCCTTTGAGGGAATGCTATGAGGAGTAAATCAGCCCCCAGGGACTCAGGAAACAAGAAGGCTGTAACGGGGGGGACTTCATAAAGCAGAGAGCAGGGCCTGGGAGGGTGGGAGGGCAGGGAGAGGACAAAATGGCAGAACTAAGGGTCCAGAGACAGGAAGTGCTCAGAGGGTCCCTGCAACCCCTCATTCTCATCTTAAGAAGACAAGATGGGCAGTTCTCACTTCCCAGAGTCATAGCTGAGGGTAAGGGAAGCTGACTTCTCCACCCCTAGGCACCAGGAATAAAGAAGCAGGTGCTGGGGTGCCTCTGTAAGGGAGAGTCTCAGCCCTCTCCCTCCCAGGTCCTCTCTCCTAGGTTCTTCTCTGGGGATCCCACCCACCTCAGCCTGGGTCTCTGAGAACAGGGTCCTAGGTGACACCATGCACAGGACCCCCGTATATACTTGGTGAGGGAAAAGGGGTTATCTAGAGGTGCAACTGTAGGGAGCACTTCTTGGCCAAGAGGGTTCAAGACCCTTCAGGGGGTGGCTGAGTAACTCCACATCAGGAACTCCTGGAGAACAGGAGAGGTTATTTCCCCAGCCCCAATACTAACAACCAACCACTCCTGCTCAGGTAGCCCCTAGCAGCTCCCCCAGCTCTTCTAGCTCTTACCCACCCATAACCTCACCCAGGAAGAAGGCCCAAAAGGTGAGATTTCTGCCCACTCTGACGGCCTACGTATCTTAAGCTCAGAGACTCAGCAGCTAACACAATGTCACATAGCACTCAAGATGTAGGGATTCCTGGCTCCTCAAGCCTCCTTGACCTCAAATATCAATGACTGTTTCCCTGATCTCTCTAAATGTCCAGATACTTTCACATCATGTTTCCACAGCCAGAGCTCCAAGAAAAATGCCTCTGCCCTGAGCTCCTGGGGACAAGTGGTCAGGACACAAATGCCCCTAGCCAGGGCATTCCTGGCATCCAGAAAGGGCCGGATGTGGGGCAAAGGTGTTGTCAGATTTAGCTCCTGGGGAGGAAGGGGAGGCCCCTCCAGAAGAGTCACAGCAGTGGGTGGTTGAGGTTAGGTGAATACTGCATCTCTAGTGACTACCCTGGGGGCCAAGAGGCCAGGTCTGCAGGTTGAGCCCTGTTCAGAGACAATTGACTTTCCCAGGCCCAGCTATGCCTTGGAAAAATCACCTGAGAGGAGCCTATAGAGGGCACATCTGTGCCCTGTGAGTGTCTCAGGCCTTTTGGCACGAGGGTCCTGCTCTGCAACTCTTCTATATATATAAGAGATATTATAGGGGCTGGAGGGATGGCTTAGGGGTTAATGCACTGACTGGTCTTGCAGAGGACCTGGGTTCGATTCCCAGCACCCACGTGGTGGCTACAAAGCATCCTAACTCCAGTTCCAGGGGAATCCGAAGCCCTCTTCTGACCTCCACGGCAAATAATAAATAAAACATTTTTAAAAAGATATTATATATTACACATAATACATAAAATTATATATATATATATATATAAACTTCAGAAGGTGCTGGGGGCGGAACCCAGGGTTCTACCAGTAAGCCACACCTGTAGTCTTCAGTCACTCTCAATGTGTACCTGCATCTCCAGTCCACCAGCACTGAACTTCAGTGAAGCTCTGTATCTGACGGATGTTCAGCCCAGGCCTTCCAGGGGGCTGCTCCTGATCACTGACCTGGATCCAAAGTGTGACCTTATATCCTAACAACCTCAACACTCTGAGGGGTCTCTGCACAAAGTCACAGCTGCCACCTCCAGACACTTAATGACCCAGAGAGTTCCCTTCCTCTAACTCCCTGAGCCATCTTCCCCTTTCCCAGAGATTCCAAAGGCCAGGGTCCAATGGGGCAGATGCCAATGGGACAGGCAGGAGGACAGGCCGAAATACAGGTAGGAAAGCCAGGTATTACAGTGGCCAGGTAGGTGGACAGCTGGATAGACAGATGGACAACAGGCATCCAGATAATTGGATAAGCCCACCAAGGATGGAAGCAGACTAGTAGAAAGACTGCCGGACAGCTGGAGAGATGAATAGACAGGCAGGTGGAAACTCAGTCTGGCAGAAGAACAGACAGACTGTCAGACCATCAGGTGGACAAAGTGGGGTATCCAGGAGACCCTAGACAAAGACGCCAAGACTGGTGGTGGTAAGGGATTAACAGTAGTGCACTGTCTTCGTGGCACTCCTGAGCATCCCAGCACCAGGCCCAACCCTTTAACTGATATTGCTGGTCCTCTAATGTTCTGGCTGGGCTAGGCCTTCCCCCAAGGCTGAGCTCTGAGCTGCCAAAATTCACTCTTTACATCCAAGAGGGGTCAGTGTTTTGAAAGTTGTAGGAGCCTGGTGAGGGGAGGAGGGGCCAGCAGCGCAATCTTTCTAAACATACCCCTCTCCTCTTTCTTTTTCCCCATGCCCAGAGCCAGGCCTGGTACAGTTGGCCAGCAAGGCAAGCGAGCTGAGCCCAGCAGGCAGGGCAGGGCAGGGTAGGGCAGGCAGGACAGCCGCTGCCACTGGCGCTGCTAAGTTAAGGGTGTAGATCAAGACGAACTGAGACACAGAGAAAGTCTGAAACAGCACACAGGCCTGTCAGAGCCACGGGGACCCCAGCCACCTACCATCAGAGGTCAACCCTGAGCTGGGGAGTGGCTAGCTCTGGAGAGGGGCATCTCCAAGGGGACCAGGTGGGAGCCCATCACAGCCCCAGAACCTGGGAGGAGGTGGCAGAAAATTCTGAGAGCCAAGATCTTCCGTGTCTGGGACACAGGGAGACAGGGGTGGAGAAAAGAAAAGGAGGGCCCCACTTTGGTGGCTCTGGACTTGGAGGAGGGAAAGAAGCTGGATGCCGGGACTAGCAGGGACAGTAGAGCGGGCTGGCAAGCAGGCTGGAAGTGTGGAGAGAAGGCAGAAGAGGTCAGAATCGAGAGCAGCAGGGGTCAGGGCTGGGAAATCAAGGATTAGGATCAGGCTGGGGGATAGGAAAGGGGTCTCGGGCCCGAGAGGGCGGGCTGGGGGTCGGGCGAGGGGCAGGGAGGCAGGAGGTGGAGTGAGCTCGGGGAGACGGTCCCCAGAGAGCCCGGCTCACACTGGGACAGCGCAGGGGCACGCGAAGGGGCGCGGGGTCGCCAACTCACATGAAGACGTGGTAGATGAAGGCCCAGCCGCGGGGCCGCTCCAGCACGTTGTAGACCCAGTTCTGCAGGCGGCGGTAGCGCTTGTGCACAGCGGAGGAGCGCTGGCCGCAGGCGGAGCCCGAGCCCGGCCCAGGGAGGGGCGCGCCCGGAGGCAGGGGGCTGCCCAGGAGCCCCAGGCGGCGCGGAGAGCCGCCCCC